AGCTGTGGGGTGAGTTCAGTAGTGGCGCTGGTGAGCTATGGGGTGAGTTCAGTAGTGGCGAGCTATGGGGTGAGTTTAGTAGTGGTGCTGGTGAGTTGTGGGGTGAGTTCAGTATTGGTGAGCTATGGGGTGAGTTCAGTAGTGGTGCTGGTGAGTTGTGGGGTGAGTTCAGTAGTGGCGCTGGTGAGCTGTGGGGTGAGTTCAGTAGTGGTGCTGGTGAGTTGTGGGTTGAGTTCAGTAGTGGCGCTGGTGAGCTGTGGGGTGAGTTCAGTAGTAGCGCTGGTGAGCTGTGGGGTGAGTTCAGTAGTGGTAAGCTGTGGGGTGAGTTCAGTAGTGGTAAGCTGTCGGGTGAGTTCAGTTGTGGCGCTGGTGAGCTGTGGGGTGAGTTAAGTTGTGGCGCTGGTGAGCTGTGGGGTGAGATCAGTAGTGGTGAGCTATGGAGTGAGTTCAGTAGTGGTGCTGGTGAGCTGTAGGGTTAGTTCAGTTGTGGCGCTGGTGAGCTGTGGGGTGAGTTCAGTAGTGGTGCTGGTGAGCTGTAGGGTGAGTGCATTAGTGGTGTTGGTGAGCTGTGGGGTGAGTTAAATAGTGGTGATTTGTGGGGTGAGTTCAGTAATGGTGCTGGTGAGCTGTGGGGTGAGTTCAGTAGTGGCGCTGGTGAGCTATGGGGTGAGTTCAGTAGTGTTGAGCTATGGGGTGAGTTCAGTAGTGGTGATGGTGAGTTGTGGGGTGAGTTCAGTAGTGGTGAGCTATGGGGTGAGTTCAGTAGTGGTGCTGGTGAGTTGTGGGGTGAGTTAAGTAGTGGCGCTGGTGAGCTGTGGGGTGAGTTCAGTAGTGGCGCCAGTGAGCTGTGGGATGAGTTCAGTAGTGGCGCTGGTGAGCTGTGGGGTGAGTTCAGTAGTGGTAAGCTGTCGGGTGAGTTCAGTTGTGGCGCTGGTGAGCTGTGCCGTGAGTTCAGTAGTGGTGCTGGTGAGCTGTGGGGTGAGTTCAGTGGTGGTGCTGGTGAGCTATGGATGAGTTCAGTAGTGGTGCTGGTGAGCTGTGGGGTGAGTTCAGTAGTGGCGAGCTATGGGGTGAGTTCAGTAGTGGTGCTGGTGAGTTGTGGGGTGAGTTCAGTATTGGTGAGCTATGGGGTGAGTTCAGTAGTGGTGCTGGTGAGTTGTGGGGTGAGTTCAGTAGTGGCGCTGGTGAGCTGTGGGGTGAGTTCAGTAGTGGTGCTGGTGAGTTGTGGGTTGAGTTCAGTAGTGGCGCTGGTGAGCTGTGGGGTGAGTTCAGTAGTGGCGCTGGTGAGCTGTGGGGTGAGTTCAGTAGTGGTAAGCTGTGGGGTGAGTTCAGTAGTGGTAAGCTGTCGGGTGAGTTCAGTTGTGGCGCTGGTGAGCTGTGGGGTGAGTTAAGTTGTGGCGCTGGTGAGCTGTGGGGTGAGATCAGTAGTGGTGAGCTATGGAGTGAGTTCAGTAGTGGTGCTGGTGAGCTGTAGGGTTAGTTCAGTTGTGGCGCTGGTGAGCTGTGGGGTGAGTTCAGTAGTGGTGTTGGTGAGCTGTGGGGTGAGTGCATTAGTGGTGTTGGTGAGCTGTGGGGTGAGTTAAATAGTGGTGATTTGTGGGGTGAGTTCAGTAATGGTGCTGGTGAGCTGTGGGGTGAGTTCAGAAGTGGCGCTGGTGAGCTATGGGGTGAGTTCAGTAGTGTTGAGCTATGGGGTGAGTTCAGTAGTGGTGCTGGTGAGTTGTGGGGTGAGTTCAGTAGTGGTGAGCTATGGGGTGAGTTCAGTAGTGGTGCTGGTGAGTTGTGGGGTGAGTTAAGTAGTGGCGCTGGTGAGCTGTGGGGTGAGTTCAGTAGTGGTGCTGGTGAGTTGTGGGGTGAGTTCAGTAGTGGCGCTGGTGAGCTGTGGGGTGAGTTCAGTAGTGGCGCTGGTGAGCTGTGGGGTGAGTTCAGTAGTGGTAAGCTGTCGGGTGAGTTCAGTTGTGGCGCTGGTGAGCTGTGCCGTGAGTTCAGTAATGGTGCTGGTGAGCTGTGGGGTGAGTTCAGTAGTGGTGCTGGTGAGCTATGGATGAGTTCAGTAGTGGTGCTGGTGAGCTGTGGGGTGAGTTCAGTAGTGGCGCTGGTGAGCTATGGATGAGTTCAGTAGTGGTGCTGGTGAACTGTGGGGTGAGTTAATTAGTGGTGATTTGTGGGGTGAGTTAAGTTGTGGCGCTGGTGAGCTGTGGGTTGAGATCAGTAGTGGTGAGCTATGGAGTGAGTTCAGTAGTGGTGCTGGTGAGCTGTAGGGTTAGTTCAGTTGTGGCGCTGGTGAGCTGTGGGGTGAGTTCAGTAGTGGTGCTGGTGAGCTGTGGGGTGAGTTCAGTAGTGGCGCTGGTGAGCTGTGAGGTGAGTTAAATAGTGGTGATTTGTGGGGTGAGTTCAGTAATGGTGCTGGTGAGCTGTGGGGTGAGTTCAGTAGTGGCGCAGGTGAGCTATGGGGTGAGTTCAGTAGTGGTGAGCTATGGGGTGAGTTCAGTAGTGGTGCTGGTGAGTTGTGGGGTGAGTTCAGTAGTGGTGAGCTATGGGGTGAGTTCAGTAGTGGTGCTGGTGAGTTGTGGGGTGAGTTAAGTAGTGGCGCTGGTGAGCTGTGGGGTGAGTTCAGTAGTGGTGCTGGTGAGTTGTGGGGTGAGTTCAGTAGTGGCGCTGGTGAGCTGTGGGGTGAGTTCAGTAGTGGTAAGCTGTGGGCTGAGTTCAGTAGTGGTATCTGTCGGGTGAGTTCAGTTGTGGCGCTGGTGAGCTGTGCCGTGAGTTCAGTAGTGGTGCTGGTGAGCTGTGGGGTGAGTTCAGTAGTGGTGCTGGTGAGCTATGGATGAGTTCAGTAGTGGTGCTGGTGAGCTGTGGGTGAGTTCAGTAGTGGCGCTGGTGAGCTATGGATGAGTTCAGTAGTGGTGCTGGTGAGCTGTGGGGTGAGTTAATTAGTGGTGATTTGTGGGGTGAGTTAAGTTGTGGCGCTGGTGAGCTGTGGGTTGAGATCAGTAGTGGTGAGCTATGGAGTGAGTTCAGTAGTGGTGCTGGTGAGCTGTAGGGTTAGTTCAGTTGTGGCGCTGGTGAGCTGTGGGGTGAGTTCAGTAGTGGTGCTGGTGAGCTGTGGGGTGAGTGCATTAGTGGTGTTGGTGAGCTGTGGGGTGAGTTAAATAGTGGTGATTTGTGGGTTGAGTTCAGTAATGGTGCTGGTGAGCTGTGGGGTGAGTTCAGTATTGGCGCTGGTGAGCTATGGGGTGAGTTCAGTAGTGGTGAGCTATGGGGTGAGTTCAGTAGTGGTGCTGGTGAGTTGTGGGGTGAGTTCAGTAGTGGTGAGCTATGGGGTGAGTTAAGTAGTGGTGCTGGTGAGTTGTGGGGTGAGTTCAGTAGTGGCGCTGGTGAGCTGTGGGGTGAGTTCAGTAGTGGTGCTGGTGAGTTGTGGGGTGAGTTCAGTAGTGGCGCTGGTGAGCTGTGGGGTGAGTTCAGTAGTGGTAAGCTGTGGGGTGAGTTCAGTAGTGGTAAGCTGTCGGGTGAGTTCAGTTGTGGCGCTGGTGAGCTGTGGGGTGAGTTCAGTAGTGGTGCTGGTGAGCTGTGGGGTGAGTTCAGTATTGGTGCTGGTGAGCTATGGCGTGAGGTCAATAGTGGCGCTGGTGAGCTGTGGGGTGAGTTCGGTAGTGGTGCTGGTGAGTTGTGGGGTTAGTTCAGTAGTGGTGCTGGTGAGCTGTGGGGTGAGTTCAGTCGTGGTGCTGGTGAGTTGTGGGGTGAGTTCAGTAGCGGTGCTGATGAGTTGTAGGGTGAGTTCAGTAATGGTGCTGGTGAGCTATAGGGTGAGTTCAGTAATGGTGCTGGTGAGCTGTGGGGTGAGTTCAGTAGTGGTGACCCGTGGGGTGAGTTCAGTAGTGGTGACCTGTGGGGTGAGTCCAGTAGTGGTGAGCTGTGGGGTGACGTCAGTAGTGGTGCTGGTAAGCTGTGGGGTGAGTTCAGTAGTGGTGACCTGTGGGGTGAGTTCAGTAATGTTCAGCTGTGGGGTGAGTCCAGTAGTGGTGAGCTGTGGGGTGAGGTCAGTAGTGGTGCTGGTGAGCTGTGGGGTGAGTTCAGTAGTGTTGACCTGTGGGGTGAGTTCAGTAATGGTGAGCTGTGGGGTGAGTTCAGTAGCGGTGCTGGTTACCTGTGGGATGAGTTCAGTACTTAACAGTGCCCTACAATACTAATTTTGAGCAATGATCCCATTCTATGGGGTATATACAGTATTTACAGAAATGACAAAGACTAAGATGCCCTGTGTAGCCTTTAATAGACTGTTGGGGTTAGTGCTGTTAGCGAGCACCTATTAAGGCCGTCACTGCGCACGAAGGGGCGTGGTGTTGCCTGAGCCACACCACGCCTAATTTATATCACCTTTCCGCCAGGTGCTAATGCAAGGTGAACCCTAATAGGTGCTCATTCGAGGCTGAGACAGACCAGGGGGGGGGGGATGGGGGTGACGGGAACGTTGTTCGCGTGGATCCACGTTAGCCGTGGCCACGAATCGAACGTAGGATCTGTCGGGTTCGTAACGCGGAGCGGAAAACCATCGCACCACCGCTCCCGCAAAGACAAAGATCCCCCCGTTTAGCCTTTTTTGAACAGACTGTTGGGGCAAGTGCTGTTAACGAGCACCCATATGAAGGCCGGAACGGCACACGAGGGGTGGGTGGTCGTTGGCCGAAACCACGACCGGGTCCGCCTTTGTCTCCCTCCATCGCCGACGTTTTGCTCGTTGAGTCCGACCTCGGGAAGCACCACGAGCGGCTTCAAAGCGATATTCGCCGATGAAATATAATGCCCCCCCTGCAACGGGAATCGAACTCGGCTCAGCCGGGCTTCGAAGAGCAGCGCAAGCGTCGCTCTCACCACAGCCGGCGCGGTTCGGCACCGCCCTCTACTCGCTCGGTATGGGGTGCCGGAAGACGTGGGTGGGTGGGGGGGGGGACAGGTCGGGGTCCTCCCCGGCGGGGGATAAAGCAACGATGTTTGGTGGCCAGTCGCGTGAGTCGCACGGGAAAGTGAGTGGCGTGCGTGCTGCGAGTTGAGCGGTGCGCGCGCGCAAGTCACCGGCTGCGCGTGTGAGACGCTGCACCTCCACCCGCCGCCGTCTCAGCAAGACTCCCACGTGCTCTCCCCCCCCTCCCCGCAACATAACCCCCCCACACTCCTCCGTCGTCCAGATTGTCCGAGCAGTTCCTCTGCGGAGCGGCGAATCGCTCGCTTCACCCGGCGACTGACAGACCGACCGCGAGCGCGAGAAGGGGACCATGAAGACGTCGGTGTGGATACTGGTCGCGGTGGTGGCAGGTGAGATGAGCGCGACCGATGTGTTAACGCCGATACAGAGGCACAGAGGCAGACACGGGACACGCGCGCGCTCGGACTCGCGTATATACACACACACAGGTACTTACACAAACAAAAAACATTCGTTCGGGGGCAAGTGCTGTGAGCGAGTGGCACCTCTGAAGGCCGGCGCGAGTTTGGCTGGGTGGCCCAGCAACCACGCCCGACCGCATTTTTCTCCCCATTGGCCGTTGGTTTTTACACGTCGCACCAGGTAACTCATTCGAGGCTGAGTCGACCTAGGGGAGGCCCAGGACCGGTTCAGATAATCGTCACCGGTGTTCGGCCGTGAGTGGGAATCGAGCTCGTGTCGTGCCGGGTTTGTAGGGCAGCGTGCTAACCGCTACACCACCGTTCCCCATACATACACACACACATACAAAGACACCGATCATCCCCTATAGGATCGACATACATTTTTTTCCAAGGAAATGCTGTTAGCGAGCACCTATTAAGGTCGGAACGGCGGACGTGTGATTTTTGCGGTGTGGCCGGAGCAGTGTGATACGCGACCACTCTTGGTCAAACAAAAACCAACAGGCACTGTATTTTAGGCTGAGAGGACCTTGTGGCAGGCGCATGCCAGGTTAACACGCGGTAATCATGGACGTCATTGCCCGGAATCAAACTCAGGTCGCCGGGATCGTAGCAACGAACACACACACACAAAAGACTCACGTACACACACCCGTACACAGAGACACACACAACCTACATATACACACACATCCATTTATGTACATACACACCTAAATAAAGACAAAGATCCCCCGTATAGCCTTAACAACCTGTTGGGGCAAGTGCTGTTAGCGATCACCTATTAAGGCCGGAACGGTACACGAGGGGTTGGGTGGCTAGCACCACGCTTCACCGCCTTTGTCTCCCTCGTGGCGATGTTTACACACCACACCAGGTACTCATTTGAGGCTGAGTCTACCTAGGGGAGGCCCAGGACCGGTTCAAATAATCGCCACTGGCGTTGGTCGTGAGCGGAAATCGAACTCGCGTCGCCGGGTTCATAGCGCAGAGCGCTAGCCGCTACACTACCGCTCCCCACATACACGCATACACAGTTTCACGCACACACATAGACATAGACACACAGAGACACGGACACACACATACACGCACCCAGCCACACACTCCCACATAGGCAACGACCCACACCTACACACACACAGGGCTGTATACACACCCATAGACACCTTGGTACGTCACGCCTGTGGAATGAGCTCCCTGATGAATTGTCCACGCTGCACTGTAGTTACATCTTAACCAGCTCGGGTGTGCTCAATTCAACAATTAATCGATTACAATCGATTATACTGTTCACCATACATTAATCGAATAACGTGCGTGATAAAAAAATCTAAATATGTTTTTTTTAAAATGTCTTATATTTTGTTTGACAACCTGTGATCAAATAACTTGCAATACATCCGATATCCTCAAATCTCGGAAGGTAGATTCTTTGTTCTTTCGGTAAAGTCACGTAGAAGGGAAACAATAAAATAATACAAATATAAAACAATAAAATTCTCACGACGTTTCGACTGCAACACAAGCAATCATCATCAGGTGTGAAAACCACAACAAGAAAATTGGAAAAAAGTGGCGTTTTTTTGTTGCAGTCGAAACGTCGTGAGAATTTTATTGTTTTATATTTTTATTATTGTATTGTTTCCCTTCTACGTGAGTTTACCGAAAGAACCAAGAATATGAATCTCTACAGTCACGAAAGCTTTAAATAAAAATTTCTCTGAAGGTATGTTACACATTGTCACTACAGATATTACAATATAGATATTTGTCCATGGCCAGTTTTTTTTTCTCCTCGAAAGCTCCCGACATGGTCAGATAACGCATGGTGCTCAGCTGCTCTGACCCTGGAGATTTGCTTGGGCGGGCGACTGTCTGCAGAAAACGGGTTGCTTTCGGCTGCTTTGTTTGTCAGCAGAGGGCGGTGGAGCAAAATACATCGTTGTGCTGTACATCTATGGTCTCACCTTACTTTAAATGTGTTTTCAAACCTTGATAATCAATCCCTTTGCAATGGAACGTCTTGTTGACAAGGGTGCCCAGACCTCCATCATACCATACTCACCAGCGTTGAGAAATATGGTCAACTAATAACACCCCCCCCCCCCCATTCATAAACAGAATATTTATTTTTACTGGAGGAATCCGATGAGCTATAGAGTAGGCCCGCATGGCTTGGGGAAGCCCTAATCCACCGCTTGCATGCAATGGGTTCATTTGATCCGACTCAGCCAGCCACTAGTAGCCGCTACATTCGTCGCGACAGTTAAAATAAATAAACAATGGCCACACGCTGACATCGATTTGGGGACGCAATCCGTGTTGGGTCGGATAGACTCCGCACCCGCGATAGACTCCACGCGGCAACGCTTCCTTTCGACCCAACGAGCCCACAGAACACAAACGTCCTTGTCTACCAACATCGGGTAGTTGGGCAGCAGTGGCCTCAAGCGAGGCCGACTCTGCCGATGAAGACGTTGAATGTCAGGAAGAGGACCCAGAGTCTGCTCGCATTAAGCCAATGCTTTTGGTATACGATAGACTCCCGCGGAAGGGACGTTTGCCTTGATGAGATTCGTCCACAATTTTAAAGCAAAATATATTTGCAGGAAGGTGAATTCTCTGTCAATCGATGTTGTGAACCCCATAGAACTAAAAGTATTTATTTATTTTACCAGGTAAGGCCCACTGAGTTAAATTGTTGTTTTTCAGAAGCGACATGGTCACAAATGATAGTTCCATGAATCGGCTTATCATGTGGACATGTATTGCGGCCAAACACTCTAAACGCGTGATGTTGATTCTAAATGTGGAGGGAAAAATTAAGAGGCCCCGGAGGAAAATCCACGCAACACACGGGAAGATAGAGAGAGGGAGAGACACCGCAAACTCCAAATATACAGCAGCAGCAGGCGTCAGGGTCGGGATAGAACCCACGGCCTCCTGTATACCAGGCGAGGTAGTTAACATCTCATAGCCACCGTGGCGCCCCAGGGTCTGCCCGACACTTGACCGGACGTGTTGTGTTACCTGTGTGTGTGCTTTCGCCACCTCTTCCTCCTATTCCCATTGTACCGGACGCACGTTTTACCACCGTGGCAGCCCCACGGGTTAAGGTTGGAGTTGTCACGACGTGTCATGTGGCCACGTAAAAAAAAACACACACATTTTTTTATAGCAAGTCAACTTGTTCTTCTGGTCGTAGGAGAGACAACGAAATAAAAAAAATAAATCCACTCATTCGGCAGCAGCAGAGGAAGAAGAGGGAGAGAGCAAACAACTTTTACGACACTTGCGACATCGCCACGTGTGGCTTGATTGTGGTGAGCAATGACGCGGTGATATGGGCGCCGGATAACGTGAGTTCGATTTCTGGCTATGGATTACAACGGTTGGTACAATGATAGCGTCAACCTGTAGTGGGCCTGACCAGCGTGGTGAAGTATGGCCAAACAATCACTCACCCTCCCCGTCCCTCCACCCCGTGGCCAACACGGTGTGGAGGAGGCCTTCATCTAGCAGTGAATCAACTCACAAAAGTGCCTGTAAAATAGAATTATAGTCGAGTGTGGCGAAATGTTAATTCCTTTAATTTGGCCGGGAAAGGCTCACCGAGTCTCAGGAGTGTTCACCAGGAGGGTCCTGCCGCCACATCGGGGTGTTTGGGAAATTCCATTCATGCGTTGGGCTTCGTGTACGAGGAAACGTGAACCTTGGTAAAAGCAAATAAATAAATAAATAACGGGTCAAATAATCGGGGTTTCGCATTACTTAGGAGCACAAGCATTCCAATCTCTCTTTTCTGACGTTATAAGTTACTTATTCTACGTGTAAATGACTCACCACGAACACATCACACACACAAACGCAGTACATGTGCACACGCATTCACAAAAAAGACAAAGACCTTTAACATACTGTGCTGTTAGCGAGCACCTATTAAGGCCGATGCGGCACACGGAGGATGTTTACACACCACACCAGGTACTCATTTAAGGCTGAGTCGACCTAGAGGAGGCCCAGGACCGGTTCAGATAATAATCAATGGTGTTGGCCGTGAGCGGGAATCGAACTTGGGTCGCCGGCCTTAGTAGCGCAGCGCGCTAACCACTGCACCACCGCTCCCACCCCACACACACTTGTGCATAGTAACGCGTTTTTTTTCGTTTCACTATTTCACTGACGCCAAAGTGACATGCACGCATTCTTCAATGCATACCTTTATCACTGTTGTTCAGGGGTGGTCTGTTAAATATTTGCGACGAAAGAAACTCAACACGCAGTTGGCTTTCGCGACCAATATCATGCATAATAGAGGTTTTTTTGGGTTAGATCGCGTAAATATATAAATGTGTCGTTAAACCCGCCACCACCCGACACAGCCAATTGGCCGTGACACAGCCAAATAACCCCAAAAACATCTCACGACACGTTCATTTTACGACATTCATATTTATGCGATCTAACTAAAAAAAAACCACCTGTATTATGGACAAAAGAAACTGTACCTTGTTCGACACATTTTGTCCCGTCTGTATTTAAAACATTTGGAGGGCATGTTATATTAATAAGAATTAATAAGAATAATAAGAATAATTATAATATGGTGGCTAGATGTTAACTACCTCGCCTGGTATACAGGACGTCTGCATGTTTGGAGGTTTGCTGTGTTTCCTCTCTCCCCGTGGATTTTTCTCCGGGTCCTCCGATCCCCCCCCCCCCCCCACCACCACCACCTCCTCCACATTTAGAATTAACAACAACAACAACACGCGTTTCGAGTGTCTGGCTGCTAGAAATGTCCACATGACGATGAGCCACTTCGCTTGTGGCCTGTCGCTTCTGAGCACGAGCTTTGGAGCTCAGTGGGCTCTACCTGGTAAAATAAAAAAAAATTGTGTTTAGTTTATAATCAGGTATGGGTGGGTGCGACCAGATTTACGTCCCTTTACTCTACTGACACCCGTGTGTTACGAGTTTTGGTGGCGCGTCTTATTTTCCCGCCGCGTCTTATAATCCGGAGAATACGGCAGCCGTAGCATTTTGTGTGTCGCCATGGAGACAAAAAAAAAACAAACGCTACCTCCCAGATGCAATTGCGAAATTCTAAATTCTCTCTCTCTCCAACTCTCTCGCACACTCTCACACACGCTCTCTCTCTCCCTCGCTCTCCCCCTTCGCGAGAGCGGATTGGAGAGTTGGACTTGGCCGCTCCTTGCAGAGGTTAACGGTTCGTGTCCAGCTGCCCGCCCTAGTCAATGCTGCAGGTGTGATGATGACCCAAAAACTACGCCGCCTGCTTCGCGGTCAATGTTAAATTACTGGGACGTCTGTGAAAAAGAGCTTTATAGCTCATCGGATTCCTCCAGTGTAAATAAATATTCAGATTCGGATACAGTAAATGTCCCATAATGCTATTTGAAAGAAAAAAAACAGTAACAGGCCACATGTGCCAGCATGTGCCAAATTTATAAAATTGCTCTCGGATGACCAAATTGTGTACATCTGCATAGCGACATCGCCCACCCCCCTACCGTGAAACTGCTGGCAGGCTAAATGTCTGTGAAACATAACGCCTTCATGATAGCCTTGTTCAGGGCTCGCAATCGTAAGGTCGCTGAGTTCAAATCTTAGTTTGGAGGAGGGTTGGGGGGGGGGTGACTCAGCTCATCATCTCTTCGAGGTTGAACAAAAAATAGTGCCATTTCGCGGCGAAGTGGACAGCGGTTCCCCTATGGAATTACTCGGCCCCGTCATAGACATGTGGAATTTCCACCACTGCCCCAGGGTCGTAAACGGGAAAATGAGCACCAACGCCTCAATGCTCATTTGAGCAGGACATCATATTTTGACTCTGGCTAATGATTTGATTTGTGTTCTCCTCCTCCCACCCCCCACCCCCGCAGTCCTCTCCTGTTGCACCAGCACTCCAGTCCCAATGCTGAGTGATTTGGAGATGAGCGGCGATGGGGATGATGATATCGGCTCGGCCGATTTTGATGGACCTGTGGTTGGGCCGCGCGTTCTGCCCGTGGTGGGCCAAAAGGAGTCCGGCACGGGAGAGGCGGCCTCTCCGAAAAGTACGTACGGGGCCCGCCTGTGAATTTGTGCGCGCACACGTACGTGTTTGTGTGTGTACGTGTGTGTGCGTGTGCCGGGAGCAGTGGCGTAGAGGTGAGCGCGCTGCGCTACGAACCTGGCGACCCGGGTTCGATTCTCGCTGACGGCTAACGCCGGTGACAATTATTTGAACCAGTCGTGGGCCTCCTCTAAGTCGACTCAAATGAGTTCCTGGTGCGGTGTGTAAACATCGCGGCTGGGGAGACAAAGGTGGTGTTGGCCACCCACCCCCCCCCCCGTGTGCTGTGCCAGCCTTCATAGGTTCTGCTCGCTAATAGCACTTTCCCCAACAGTCTGTTAAGGCTATATGGCGGATCTTTGTCTTTGGAGCGCTGGTGCTGTGGTTAGCGCACTGCGCTACGATGCAGCCATCCTGGGATTCATTTGAGGTCATGGAATGATACCGACTTGTTCTGAAATAAGTGCTTTGGTATGGTGTGTAAACATCAGCATTGTGGAGTGACAAAGGCGGCCTGCCATGGTGTTGTCCACCCACCCTCTTAGTGTGCCTTGCCGGTCTTAATAAATGCTCGCGAAGAGCGTTTGCCCAAACAGGCTAAACGGGGAGATCTTTGTGTGCCAGTGCCATTGTAACATTATTGACACCGGGCAAACCTTTCGGGGCACATCTTACTTTATAGTCTGGAAAATGTGGTGTTCCGAGTTCAGAGATGCCGAAATTTCGCCCTGGCTCTTGCCATGTTCACTGAGACGTGACTGTGCCTGCCTCTAGCAGCTGTTGTTTGACAATAAACTTTGGCCCCGAGTTCACATTTATCCAAGGTCCTGACTATGAAGCCGAATTTGCTGGGTGGATATTGCCGACGTGTAACTTTTGTAACATTCCTCAAACGTTGTGCAATGTCACGCACGTACGTACATGTGTTGAACGTATTTCGCACCGTACGTAGCCAACCGTGCTAATCGGAGGTGTGGGGAAAGGACAACAAACTAAACACCAAAAAACCTGTTTTGTTGCTTCTGTTTTGTATCTCAGTTGCACCTTACTGGGACATTAAACTCAGTCAGGGCCCATGTCTCTGTGTGATAGAGTAGAGGCTGGGAGGTCTGACCCCACCCTCCCATTTTTTCCCGGGCAGCCTGGCCCAAGCAGCAGGGCAGGGAATCTAGACAAGGAAAGGCATCTTTCTTGGCCTATGTCTAAAGCAAACTGACCAGGCATACGAGAGAAGTAATACAGGTAAAATGAAGATAGTCGTAGTAAATTAACTAAAGGAATAGTAATCCAGGCTTCTGATTATACACAATAAATACATAAAAATACGCCATATTGATTTTGGTGTTACTATGCCTACCACGTGACATCACAGTGGGAATTGCAAAGACAAGCGAAAAAAAACGGATTTTAAAGGGGCATATAAGCAAAGTTGCTACCGGTCACACAGCCACATGTACGTACACAGCTCCTGCAGCAATCCACTGCTAGACGAGGTACTTTCCACGCCGCGCAGGGTCGTAGGGGTTAAGTCGCCCATATTTCACCAACACGGAGCACACCCAACGATGCTTTCCTCCGCCGTTGGAGCGCACGTTGCTCACAACATCGCTGCCGGAGACTGCGCCGTTTCAGAACCTCGGCTTTCGGAAACATCGTAATTGCGTGCATTGTAATGACTTGGAGTCGCGTTTGTTAAATTCAACTTTTAAATCGTTTTTTCTTTCGTTTTCTCCTTCTTCTTCTCGTTTACCTCAAATCGCCAGAGCCGCGCGAAGGAGGGAAGAAAAGTGACGGGGACAAGAAAGAGGAGGGCACGGGCAAGGGTGGCGGCAAGGGTGGTGGCAAGGGTGGCGGCAAGGGTGGCCAGAAGGGGAAGAAGGGAGGGAAGAAGGGGAGAAACAAGTGTCCCAAGTCTATGCGCAACTACTGCATGAACGGAAAGTGCAAGTACATCGAGCCAATCAAGAAGGCGAGCTGCGTGTAAGAATCGCACGCGCACAGCACGTGGTCACGCGCACGCACGCACACGCACGTACACGCACGCGGGCACGCATTAACTCACAAGGGTTTGTCAAGGTGCAGCCCTGCGATTTTCTGCTCGAGCTACCGCTGGTGGAAGGGTATCGCTAGGGCGTGCTCTTGAGAGCCCCTCGAGTCGAGGGTATATTGGCCTACTCTTCCACGCTTGACGAGACGTCTTGGAAGAGGTAGGAGTAGCTGCACTTTAGCGTACCCCCACAACGTGCCAAGGTAAGTAACTGTGGTGGTCTGCTCGTTTACGGTAATGATTTAGAATGTGTAATGCACCACATTTTTCGTTCACCCTCAGAACGAGAGAGAGAATGATTCAGAGATGAGGGAAACCACAGACGAGCAGCTAGAAGAGGCACCAACCATTTCCCAAGCTCTGTGGTCCTATGTTTGCATGTTTCATCAACTCTGCTGGGTGGACAGAGGCGGTGATGGGGGAGGGGATGTAAGCGATGTGCCCCATTGTTTTAACTGCCGCGCCAGGAGATGGAATCGAACCGGCGACCTCTGGAATGCAACAGCAGTTGTGCTGACCACTGCAACAACATCTAGCGTGAATAACGTTGTCACGCGCCCAATTTGTTACTAAATTTGTCAGGGTTTCGACCCATTTATAAATAACGCGATCTCATCCAAAAACCTCTATTATGAATAATATTGGTCGCGAAAGCCTGCGTGTTAAACGCACATTGGCATTTTTACCCAAGAAGCAATCTGAGCCAAAAGTCAATCTTGACTCAGTTAATCTCAAGGACAAACCTGGGCGTCTTTGTGTGTTGCAGGATTACGATACTTTCACTCTCGAATTCCCGAGGCGGTATTTTTTTGTTTGTTTGCTGCTTCCGCTTTGCATGCGACGAGCGCTCTCAAGGTCCACGAGAACGATGAGGAGAGCGCTCGATAATTCATCCAGGAGAGCCTCTGCGAGTCTCAAGGCTCCTTGTCAGGAGGGTCATGCCGTGTGATGTTGGGCCAATTATTTTGCTTTCATTTGGTTGACTTCCCCCACCCGGCCCGTGCAATCGTTTTCCAAATCGTGCCATCGGCATCGTGACCTGAGAAAAAGAGATTACGAGCCTTCTGTGGTGAGCAATCGAACTACCCTTTGCTGCAGAGCACAGCTCTGGAAGTTGGTGTTACAGAACCACCTCTGACGGTCATTTGTCTAGGTTCAGCGAACACCTCTGCCCTGCAAGGAGGTGTCAGGGACAACCGAGGGAGCTGGAATGCAGCCAAATTAGGTTCACAGGTTAGGTTCGTTTCGCAGTCACTGTGCGGTCGATCAACGACGGAGCTGTGACCACCAACGGGCAACGCTCCCGCAGTCACGGCGTGGCTCAGACCCACGTTGATAGCCAAGGTCCTCACGGGTTCGGCTACTCTTGCTTTGGTGTTGTCTAAAGAATGAACGGCAGATGTGGCAAATGGGGTTCCCATTTGCCCGTAGGCATCGAGCATTATCCAATACACACGTAAAGCATACGTATATACAGAACCAGTTTGGGGGTAATTGAGTGAGTGATAGACGTTTATTCTAATGATGTTCTAAAAGGAATAGAGAGCTGACATTTGGCTCGGACGCATTCGGGGGCCTGTGCTCATAACCAGAAATGTATTCGGGCCTGGAAAGGAGCTAAATTCTAATTTTCCAACAGATTTTCCACAACTCAACTTTCGCGATACTTTGTGTTGTTTGTCAGCGTATGCCTCTATACAGTCAACATCATCATTAGCAATGGTCAATCCTCTGTTGGATGAAGGAGCGATGCAGTGGGCCCCGTATGCGGCAAGCGCCGGGTTGGATGGTTGCGCTGTAGGATTGCGGGATATGGCGGTGGCTTGGGAAGTACCTTCGTTAATTATGCACGCACACACACAACAACACACACACACACCACAACACACAACGTCACACACACACACACACTCAAGAACAACAGCAGCAGTTGACAGTCCCTTGATGAAGGCCGCCCCATGGGGGTTGTTTTGGCCATACTTCACCATCCTGGTGAAGTTATAGCCTAAGCAGCGTTTATGATTTTTCACCTGTGGCTGGGAGTGTAGTATGTTGAACTTCTTTCGCGAAGTACGTAGCCAACCATGCGAATCGGAGGTGTGGGGTAAAGGCAAGACGTCCAACGCTCTGTTTCACAAGATTCATAGTGCGGGTGTTCCAACCACTGCGTCACCATTCCGAACGCACTATATATAGAACTCGCTATATATATTCCGTGTGTGCTTTCTCCACGTTACTACTGTGAATGCATGCGGGTCCTACCCTTACAGCTGTAGCGCATTCTGCGGTTAGGGACGCACGGGCCAGTAGAGACAATGTCTAGGCTTTAAATGTCACTGACGTTCCTCGTCACGCAAGGGGCCAGCCAGAAGAAACCTCGTCATCATTCTCGTTGCCTTTCACGAGCGCAAACATTTTTTCAATGACGTCACCGTTTTTTTTGAGAATCTAACATCGCCAGGGTTTCGGAGATGTCGAGGACGATTCTTAGCACGCACACAAAGATCACCCCGCCCCCCCCCCACTCCTCCATACAGGCTGTTGGGGGCAAGTGCTGTTAGCCACCAACACCAATACAACCGCCATTCGTCACTAAGTGACGGTGACGTCACGACGGCGCCCGCGCCAGGCCACGTGCGCTTTGAGGCCACGTGAAGCGTCAAAGGCTCGCTGCTGACAGGAGCTTATGGGACAGACCCAGCAAGTGCCGTGCTATGGCTGACTGAGATGACCGGTAGATGCACCACCAGCTGTACCTACCCCCCCCTCCTCCTACTGTGCCAACTTGCTGCTATTTTAGCCGCCCGGCGCTCCGCCCGTTGTTGTGAGCGTCGCTCCTCTTCCCTCAGTTGTTGCTGGAGGGCGACTGCCTCCAACAAACTGCCCAGTGGCCTCCTTCACGCCACACGCGCGCACGTTTAGCTGCGTCACTTTGCAGCGTCGATCTCGCTGTTGGCGAGCGGCTGTGTCGGCAAACGGCGTGACTAGCACCGAGGGAGGACAATGGGGGCCACCCTTCTGTCTCCGTCAGTGCCGATGTTCGCACAATGGCACCAGGTTGCGTTCGCGTCGCCTAAGACGATGACGAAGCACAGCTTTGGGTTCGCGTACAAGTCGCCACTGACGTTTCGTACTGTCGTGTAAAGTGCGGTGAGTTTATTAACCGCTACACCACCACTGACTTCCCGTTTGTGTGTGCCCACGTGTTTACACGCACACTTAAGGAATCACACTCGTACATGCGTTGGGGATCACAAAGACAAATATTCTCCCCCCCCCCCCCCCACCTGCCATATAGCCTTAAGATATTTAAGGGGCAAGTGCTGTTTGCGAGCACCTATGAAGGCCGGCACGGCATACGAGAGGGTCCATGGCCAGCCAGCATCACGTCCTTCCTGACACACACACACTCGCGCGAGGAATCACACTCACTCTACACACACACACGTGCGAGGAATCACACTCTACACACACACATGCGAGGAACCACACTCTAAACACACGCGCGAGGAATCACACTCTACACACACACACGTGCGCGCGCGCAGAGCCTGTACAACAATAGGAGGCGAGCGTGCCCTAATGATGGGGGATTGAGTCCGTTCGGCCGGAGCCACGTGCGAGTCACGCGCATTGTGAAGTCGCGGCACGTGACGAAACCCGAGTCGACGTCACCGCCCGTGACGAGAGGGCCACGGGGGCGTGGCTTCCCCGTGGCTGATGCCCCCCGCGCCAATGCCCGCGTAGCCTTCACGGACTTTTGGGGGCACGTGCTGCTAGCGAGCAGGCACCCTCGACGGCCGGCACGTACACACGTGCGTACACACACGTGCCTATACCTACTACACGCACAGCTCCTTTTAGTCGCTCCACTGCTGGATGACCGCCTCCCTACATCGTGCGGGGAAGTGGTGGTGGTGGTGGTGGGTGGGGGGGTTGGTTGACCATACTTCACCACGCTTTGGCTGTGGGGGGTTGGTAGAGGCACCACTATGTTATTATTATTGTTGTTGTTGTTGTGGGCACAATACGCGATGATAGTAACGATAATAATAGTCTTGTAAAAGAAAGATCCCCCGTATAGCCTTGACAGACAGTTGGTGCAAGTGCTGTTGGCGAGTAGCACCTATGTAAGCCGCCACGGCACACGGAGGGGGTGGGTGGCCAGCACCACGCCCGCCCGTCCGCCTTTGTATACACAAAGGAACACACAAACTCACCCCAAGACGTGGCACACAGCGCGTGGGCTCGTGAATTTGTGCAGGACTCTCGGTGACCTTTTGACATGGCACTGCGGTGGGTGAGCTTTGCCCCCCCCGTCTCTCTCCGGCAGCACAACATTTGCCGAAGCAAATCAATAAATAATAGGGGCTGGCCTCCGTCAAACACTGGCGGGCGGCTCCGTTCCGGATATTTTTTGCGCGCCGTTTCGCTACGCACGCCGGGGCGGGAGCTTCTTCGGGAACGGAGATCATCATCGACTTCCCGGAGAAGAAGCTTCCACAGCGAGCGAAACGTCGGACATCGTACCGTATATATGTAAACAAACAAAAAAACACGTGGCACAGCTCGGAAACACCTCGGGAGAGCTGCGTAGCGCAAGCGCGTCCGGAGAGTCCTCGTTCAACGCGGCAGTTGGTGCCTTCATGAACGATTTGTCGCGCTAAGCGAAAAACGCGTAAAGCCACGAACAATTTTACCCGTAAATGATGTGACGCTAAACTTTTGCGAGATACGACGTACTCCTATTACGCACACGCAGTGAGATGGAGGGACAAAGTAACTTGGGGTACGCCACTCCGCTCAGCCACGCAGCTCACAACCCGCGTTAGAACGTCGTGCGAAAAGTGATCCCAAATGGCAGAACCACGTTCAAGCGAAAACGCGTTACAGCGTGAACACCACGCCAGGGGCACCGCGGTGGCTAGGAGATGTTAACTACCTCGCCTGGTATGCAGGAGGTCACGGGTTCGATCCCGACCTTGACGCCTGCTGCTGTATATTTGGAGTTTGCACATTCTCTCCGTGGTCGTTTGGATTTTTCTCCGAGTCCTTCGTTTTCCCCCCTCCACATTTAGAAAATCAACGTGCGTTTAGACTCGTATTTGACTGCTATAAATGTCAACGTGATGCTAAGCCACTTCCTCGAGCCAACATGTGCGATAGCCAGGCCACTTACGGAGAAGCGCTCTACAGCTCGGTGGGCCTTACCTGGTGAAATTAAAAAAAAAACAACAATTCGTAGCGTTTGATAGTTTTATAGCACGAGGCAGCAGCAGCAGGAGCAGCAGCGGCGCCCCTCATCGAGATCCTCGCCTTCGTCGATGTTTCACGCGCAGGTGCGAGAAGGACTACGAGGGCGAGCGGTGCGAGAAGAGGATTCTGAACGTGTCGACGCTGCAGGCGCCCCGCGTTCCCGACTCAATGGTCCTGGCCGTGGCGGCGTTGGCCACCGCCTCAGTGAGCCTCATCGCCACGCTGGTGCTCATCGCCACCATACGGTAAGTGGGCTGTCCCGCTCGTTTACGTGTCGCTCCGTTCGGTCGTTCTCTCCATTGCGTCTCACGAGAGCGAAATTTTGTCTCGCGCCCTTCGATGGCTGCTCTTACGTCCTCATCGCCGCAAGCACCACAACCAGAGCCACCGCTCACCGATACCCGCCGGTGACGTCACCGCGGCGCCTTTGCCAGGCCACGTGGACTTCGAGGCCACGTGAAGTGTCGAACGTTCGCTGACAGCAGGTCACGGGATCGACCAAAATTAACTGGCAGATGCACCCAGCTGTGCCCCCTATTGTGGCAACTCAATGCATTTTAGCCGCCCGGCGCTTTGCTCGTTGTTGTGAACGTCGCTCCTCTACCCTCCGTTGTTGTTGGAGGGCGACTGCCTCCAACTGACCCGTCGTGTCTTTCATGAACCAAATTCACCACTTACCACAGCCACCACCACCAACCAAATGCTGCCTGCTCTCTTTCCTACTGGGGGAGGTGCTGTTAGCGAGCACCTAAAAAGGCCGGCACGGTGCTTGCGTAGCCGGTAGCCCGCCAGCCTTAGGCTCCCCAGTGCCGATGTTTATACACACCGCTCATTTAAGGCTGAGTCGACCTGGCAGGGGCCACGGACCCGTTCTCATATTTGCAACTGTTATTGGTTGTGAGTGGGAGTTGAACACGCACACAACACACATACACAACGCACACAACACACACACAGCACACACACAGCACACATATACAGTACACACCCAACACACACAGTACACATATATAATACACACACAACACACACACAGCACACATATACAATACACACACAACACACACACAGCACACATATACAGTACACACACACACAGCACACATATACAATACACACACAACACACACACACACAGCACACGTATACAATACACACACACACCACACATACACAACACACACAAAACACACATATACAGTACACACACAATACGCACACAACACACGCCCAAGTCCCTCTCTCACGCAAACGCTGCCAGAACAAGTCCACATCAAAGCGTTTCGGCAGGTGAGCTCACAACGCCTCTCCCAGCAACACCTGCCTCCACGCTCCCCGCCCTGATTCCCGTCTCTCGCCGTAGGCTCCACTCACTCACGCCCTTCGCCACCTCTCCTGCTCCCCCCCCTCTCTCCTCCCCCCACCACCCACCCCGGCTCTCCGTGTCCTCCAGTGACAGCGCTAAGCAATAACGAAGCCGAGCAAAAGCTTAGCGCCCCAAGTAGCCCGCGGGGCGTCGGGATTGGTGACGCACATTATTGATGGGCCCACACGAATAAATATCAGATCCTGAAAACCATAAGAGGTCCATTTCGCACGAGCAAGCAAATGCATCTCTCAAATGTCTCCTATCTGTCGTCAAGCGGATCATCGTTTTGTGGGGAAGGCGACAGTGGGTGTCCTGTGGGGAGATTTCAACCCCCTCTTGATACCGTCCGCCCCCCGTAGGAGTGCCGTCTTCACCCGTGAGGCCCTGTTCGGTGAAAACAAACCATGACCCCTGAAATATCTCCACTCGTTTCAGGTGCCGACGGAAAAAGACTTCCACCTACGACGTGGGCACGGAGAAGGAGAAGCTGAAACTTCGTCCGGAGGAAACATCGTCTCATGCATGAACCCCCTCTCCACCCTGAAGACCACAAACTCTAGTCTTATCGGCGTAGCAACAACAGCAGCAGCAACGACAACATTCACTTTTCAACGTCACCTTTCTACTTTGGCAACGAGGTGTTTGTGAAGGTTTGCGATGGGCGGGATACGTTTTCCAGGGTGGAGAAGGGCAGGTGACTGAGATGGGCATTGGAATGGTACCCAGATGTTTGTGACCCAGAGGAAGATCTAAGACGGTGATGGAGGTGGTGGTGGTGATAAGACTACGACTACAGTTCTTGAAGGATGTGTGACCTGTGAAGCAAGGGGAAGACCTAAAACCAAACAGATGGTGGCGATGATTTGATGCGAGTCGGTCGTTGAATGTCGCGTGTTGACCGCGCAGCATCTGCTAAACCGGGTCCACATCTGAGCAAATCAGTTGCGTGCAACTGGGTTGACTGCAACCGAATCGCTTACATGCGGACGTTTCTGCGACCAGTTGAGCAACTCCCCCCCCCCCCCCCCCCCCCCCGTTGCTCACGCCAGATTATAGACGAGAATCTCGAGCATCGATCTGCTCCGCGATTTGTGGCGATGCGCTTCGTCACGTGACACACTTGCGAATGTGCAACAATTGGCCGTTACAATCCCCAACCGGCCGTTCGATTTCCCTCTTGCTCAACTGCTCGCTCAGGTGCGGACAAAGCAGTCGGGAGAGCGATTGATTGAGCTATCTTGTTTGCGCAACCAACTCGGTCAGGCGGCGGACGTAGCTTTAGAGCAAATCGATTTTTGATGGGATCGCGATTTTGTGAAGCCTTATAACCCCCCTTAGTGTGGAGCTAGAAAGGACAAATTAGGCAGTATTTTTGTGTCGTTTCGTGGAACAGTGTTGATGGTGACTATATCGATAAATTATTCTTCACGCCTCTATAAACATACGTCGTATAATATTATCGTACTATATTAGAAAAAAAAAGTTTTGCTGGCTTGGCGCATGTCTGCGCGATGGTCTGCGGGTAGCGCTGACGTCAAGGCCCCCCCCCCCCCCGACAATCCATCCGTCCCAGCCAACCTCCACCCCTGTCGTCATCCCAGGCATGTGTGGGGGTAGTGCTAGTTATAATAATAAACCCCCCCCATTCAAGTTACAGGAATGCCACCCCCAAAAAAAAAACGCCCGTGACTAGAGGATAAAACGCAACGTGCGTCTAAACTTATTTATGACTTGTGCTCTTTTGTACCAAATTGATATATCAGATTGTCCCAGCTAGTCCCCGGCGTTTCTCTCGCTGAGCGAAAACGATCTGACGGAGCGGAATCTCTCCCCGAATGTACAGCGTTTTAGATGTACATACATAGCCACACATGAGCACACACACACACACACACGCCTTCATTTGCCAAAGATCGACAGCGTACACATCTGTCTCGCGGTTTAAAATGATGATGGCCAACGTTGAGCGATACAGGAGACCTTATTGTGTTATCTGCACTGCAAGTTTATTATATATGTATACGCTGTGTTATGTAATACTATTCTTGCTGTAGAAAACTGGCTAGAAGTACATCCCTTAGAGTAATAAGCACCAACTGTGCTTTTTTATCTAAAGTGTGCTTCCATCTAAAGATCACCTTTGCCGTTTCTCACGGGTTTTCTTTAATACGGTCAAATGTGTAATGTTGTGAGCCATTCCATGGCATCCTGAAGGTGGTGGTGGAGTTGAGTAGCCACGCGTGTTCCACCACGCGTGGCTACTCGCTCGTATCGCCAGTACAATGTGAGCTAGCTGTGCTCATATCAGGCGTGATTACCTCCGCCTGCAACTGCGGTCGTCCATTCACAGACCCCCCCCCCCCAGCTCGTCATGTCAACTATTGTTGGGGGGCGAAGAAGGAGGCTTCGCCTAGAGGGTTGTTTTGACCATACTTTGCCACACTTTTTTGTAGGCCAGTTACGGTCCGGTGAACTCGGGCGGGCTCATCGAAATTCGTTTCGCGGTTCCAATTGACCACTGTCGCTGCACCTTTTCGCAGTTGGCATTCCCCCCCCAACCCCCCTTTCTCTCTCTCTCTCGTGACGCTCTGAGATGATTTTTTGTTGTTGCAAGGCCACAGTTCGGGTGGAAATGGTTCCAGAAATTCTGGTCAAACTGCTTTTTCTCGTTGTTGCTGCAAAGAGTTTTCAGGAAAAGTTCAATAGACTTCCCCCACCCTACCTCCTACCTACGCGTTGCCTTCGGCTTTCCCGCAATGGACTTTCTGCCAGTTTCGGTCTCAATGCATTTTCAGGCAGTAAGTAGCTCAATGTTGAGTTTGTCTTTAGCTTATATATTTTATTGTAAATAACAGAAACACGTTTGTCATTTATTCGGCCTATGCGGGGGGGGCGGGGATGGGGGGGTGGGTGCTGTCCCTATGTAAATTAACTTGAAAACGTGACTTGTTATTGGCCAGCACTCGGTGGGAGGGGTTTGAATCAGTCAATAAGGTGATTAGGTGTCTTCCACCTCAATGGGATCGCGTTGAAGACTCAACATTCAATAATTCATTTGTTTTCAAAGCAAGTGACCCAAATGAGCAAATTTTGTTTTTACATACATATATAAAGTGTTTTTTTGTTAATGTTCGTAAGTTTTTTTTCTAATTTAAAATAACTATATTTTTAAATTAATGTTGTTTCCTTTTTTTTTAAATCGAGACGAGACTCCGCTGCGCAACGAATATTGTCCCGTGTGAAATCAAACGTCGTGGCGTCCCGAGTGACACCCAACGAACTCACGACTTGTTTAACTCGAAACTAAAGTGCATTCAACTTGACTCCGTCTACTCGTTTAAAGTCGCTTTCCCCGCTCGTGCACCTATCGCACGTTTTAGATTATTTATTAAAGAAAAGCTTTTATACAAATGTGTATATATTCTCTAAACGGAATTGTCTCGGTTGATTTTTTTGTTGATAAGTTTGCACGCGGGTTCCTAAACGGACGCACACTCTCAGTGATCACCTATGAAGGGCGGAACGGTACACGAGGAGGTGGGTGGCCAGCACCACGCCCGGCCGCCTTTGTCTCCCCAGTGGCCATGTTTACACACCGCACCAGGTACTCATTTGAGGCTGAGTCGACCTAGGGGAGGCCCAGGATCGGTTCAGTTATTCGTCACCGATGTTAGCCGTGAGCGGGAATCGTACTCGGGCAGCTGGGTTTTGTAGCGCAAACGTACTTACACATACACACATGAACACATGAACACACTAATGGCGTGAACTCACTTTCACACAGATACAAATTAATACTCACATGCAAAGACAGTCGCGTACTTAACTCAAGCATAAGCATACAAAAGACAAAGATTCCCAGTATAGCCTTCACAGACTGTTGGGGCAAGTGCTGTAAGCGATCACCTATGAAAGCCGGAACGGCACATGAGGGGGTAAGTAGCCAGCACCACGCCCGGCCGCCTTTGTCTCCCCAGTGGCGATGTTTACACACCGCACCAGGTACTAATTTGAGGCTGAGTCGACCTAGGGGAGGCGCAGGATCGGTTCAGATAATCGTCACTGTTGTTGGCACGTGAGCGGGAATCGAACTCGGGTTGCCGGGTTCGTAGCGCAGCGCAGCGCGCTAATGGCTACACTACCGCTCCCCGCACAAATACCAGCACCACGCCCGGCCGCCTTTGTCTCCCCAGTGGCGATGTTTACACACCGCACCAGGTACTAATTTGAGGCTGAGTCGACCTAGGGGAGGCGCAGGATCGGTTCACATAATCGTCACTGTTGTTGGCACGTGAGCGGGAATCGAACTCGGGTTGCCGGGTTCGTAGCGCAGCGCAGCGCGCTAATCGCTACACTACCGCTCCCCGCACACATACCAGCACCACGCCCGGCCGCCTTTGTCTCCCCAATGGCGATGTTTACACACCGCTACACTACCGCTCCCCGCACACATAAACACACACAACTACAAAGAGTCATGTTCATATATATTTTTTATCATTTCGACAAGTATTTCTACCACTCTTTCGCTTTCTATTTCTCTTTACTCTTTCACAACGCACACGCACCCTTACATAGACTGTCGGCGCCCGTGTGGGTCAGAGTTTACGGAAACTCCATCAGCATTTACATTCTGGCCTTCGCCTGATGAAGCTCGTTGTAATTACTAGCGAAACGTCGGTAATTAAAACATGTTTTTTTTGTGGGTTTATTCTCCAACACACACCGGTGTGCCGAACTAGTAAGTCATTGGCATATTTTGTTTACGTGATAAACCTTACTAATTGGCCGTGTCGGGTGGTGGCGGGCTGAACGACACACTTAATTTACGCGATCAACCCCCCCGTAAAAAAATCTCTGTTATGAGCATTTCCAAAACAAGGGTATTATATTATGAGTGGGGTTTTCTCGTCAATTACAGATTCAATTTGCTAGTGGTGAACACCTGCCATTATTAATATCATTGGTACACAATTACACCAAAAACCCAACAGATGCGCTAATAGTACCTTGAACAAAATTATATAATAGGTGACGTTTCGGGCAACAGACCTTCTCCATAGCACATAAATAGAATGGCAAGGGAGATAGTGGACACTGCTCAGAGTTGGAGACTCTTATATGTTAAAATGTGTCCTGAATAGTCACACTAATCGTAGCTATTGAGTAACATAAATACCATTCAATAATCAAAAGATGGCTTCACGCAGTCACACAACCAAAGTTATTGCTACACTGCAGGCCAGGGCTTCCCACAATCCCAGCCCTCGCAAGCCACTCCGTCTTTTCCAATATTTAACAATTTACACCTCCCCCATTCAAACGCAAATTAAGTCGTTCCACGCGGCACGCGCCCGATGATTGCTAAACACGTGACGGGCAGTGCCGATTAAAATTGTGGAGAATGCGAGTAACAACATATGAGCAGACAATGCGTACCTTTCATATATGCACATATATTATATATCTCCGTTTCACCACATGAATGATAGAGTTATGGCTTTTTTGTTACACATTCCATCAGCAACACGTCATTCACAGTCATGTGGATGGGGTTCATTTCCCGTCAGGACATCCAATCGCCTACCTATTTCTCCCGACAGCCCATATCCTCACGAGCCACGGTTGGCCAACATTGTATTTATGTGGAACTTCTTTCGCACCCTACGTAGCCAACCGTGTTAATCTGAGGTGCGGGGGAAGGAGAACAAACTAAATACAAAAATCAGTTTTAAAGAAATTAGTTTTCCATCTAGATGTTAAAGTGCATAACTCCAGTGGCTTCCGAATATCGGAAGCTGCTACTGCTGCCGAATATCGGACTGCTCCCGCTGCATCTTCTACGACTGCTACTGCTGCCACCGCATCGGGCGCAGGAGAGATTCATGGTCGAACTTGCTCGGTCCCCTTCGTTGCTTCTAGACGCTGGGGCATAGCGCATCGCAACAATGATGTTGCTGCCTTGGCCACTGCTGACAACGTCCAGCCCCTCGTAAGGCGACGTCTGTGTGAGGTCCTCCTTACTCACATAGCGGTGGTTTCCTCTGAACCCCGGGGGTGCGAGATGCCCTTTCTATGGGGGGTGCGAGACATGGCCAGATTTTTTTTTGTCGAATGTAAAATAATCGAAAACACAAATTAAACGCTGGCACATCAATTACAACTTACTTTGTTTCATCAAACCCGATGTATTTATTAACAGTGTATATTTGTTTTACGATTGATAATCAAATGGGTGCAAGGCTGCAGTGCAGGTTAAGAGTCAACTGCATTGGAAGGATAATACGTAAGAGGCGACGTTTCGGACAATAGCTCTTCTTCTCCGCACCTGTGCTATTGTGTGTGCTATGATGAAGAAGGCCCACTTCCCGAAACGTCGCCTTAGATCATTGCGGTTTAAAGGTTTTATTTTGTGTTTGTGTGTGAAGATATATTAAAGAAGACGACGAGTTTTGGATAAATATATACATCGTGCGAAGTATGCAAATGTCGGCGAACCATCATGCGGGGTAGGCGACTTTCACGCGTGAGTAATTTCAATGCCCCGGGTTTGTACATTTTTCTTAATCTCTGAATTCCTGGACGGGGACGATTACGTGAATAGCGTCTCGCTAACTTCACCCCTCGCTCACCCTGCTACCGGCCACAGGACTCCATCACCCCAAGCAA